GACCCCCAAAAAACAGCGAGCACCCAAAAAACCACTGGGTAACCCCGAAAAACCACCGGGTAACCCCCAAAACACCGAGCACCCCCAAAAAACACCGGGGAACCCCAAAACACCGAGTTCCCCCCAAACACCCAGAACCCCAAACCCACTGAGTACTGCCCATAAACAGAGCACCCCCAAAAACCACCCAGTAGCCCCAAAACACCGAATATACCCCAAAAACACCGAGTACCCCCAAAACACTGTGTACCCCACAACCACCAAATGCCCCCCAAAACCACCAAATGCACCCCAAAACTAGTACCACCCAAAACACTGAGTGCCCCCAAACCACCAAGAACCCCCCAAAACTCCCGGGTACCCCCAAAATGGGGGGGGTCCCTTTGTGTGTCCCCCCCTCCCCGCGGGTCCCTACCTGGGCGGGGGTCGCGGTGGCTCCGGGTGGGTGTCGGGCCGTGTCCCCTCCGCGCGTCCCCGGAGCCGCCCCGCCGCGGGGGGGGATTTTTGGCTGCCGGGAATGTCACATACCCCCCCGCCCGGTGCCCCCCACTCCTCGGCGAGGGGATAGCGAGGGGACAGCGGGGACAGCACCGTGCCAGGCTGGGAGGGCACCGCACACTGGGGACCCCCGGGCTGCGCTCCCCTGCCCGGCGCTGCCCGGGGGGGTCTGGTATTTTAATTGGACCCCCCTCATTAACGCCGGGTTCATTAGAGGCTCAGAAGGGGCTTTGTGTGCGCGGGGACAGCGGGGACAGCGGGGACAGAGTGTCCCCAAGGCAGGGCCGCGCGCCAGGTGCGACATGGGGACACCAGGGCGGGGACACGGACCCCCCCGGGCCCCTCTGGGCTGCGGGGCTTTAGGGGGACCCCAAACCCCACCCCGCGGCTTGTAGGACATTTGAGGGACCTCACACCCCGCTGGGGACCTGCAGGACATTTAAGAGACCCCAAATCCCATTGGGGATCTGCAGCACATTTGGGGGGACACCAAACACCATCCCGGGGCTTGTAGGACATTTGGGGGGCCCCAAACCCCGTTGGGGATCTGTAGAACATTTGGGTAACCCCAAACCCCACCGGGGACCTGCAGGACATTTAGGGGACCCCAAACCCCGTTGGGGATCTGCAGCACATTTGGGTGGACCCCAAACCCCACCGGGGACCTGCAGGACTTTTGTGGGACCCCACATCTCCTTGGGGACCTGCAGGACTTTTGAGGGGGTCCCCACACCCCACGGGGGACCTTCAGGACCTTTGGGGGCCCCAACCCGACCCCCAGGGCAGGGGGTCCCCCCTGCAGCGCCCACCCAAAATCAGCCCCGCAAGAGGAAAGGGGGTCCCACCCACCCAGCCCCGGGCTTTGGGGGAGCCCCGCGGTCCCCCGGGCTGGGGGATGGGCTGGGGGGGGGGCGCTGAACCCCGGGGGGAGGAGGAGGGTGAGGAAGATGAGGATGAGGAGGAGGAGGATGAAGGCTGAGCCACGATCCCATTAAAGAGCTTAAGGCAGCGGGAGAGCGAGGGGCGGCCCCGGGCGGGGCGGGATTAGGGGGGCTCGTTATCCCCCCCCCCCCCCAATTAGCTCTCTTTTCCCTGCGGGAGGAATCCCCCAGTGCCACCACCCCCCTGCCACCACCCCCTGTCCCTCTGTCACCACCCCGTCCCTGCCACTGCCCTGTCACCTGCAGCGCCCGGGATGGGGGACACACCCAGTGCCCCCCAAACGCGGGGTTGCAGCCCCAGAATGGACCCCCTGCCCGAGTCCCCCCCCGGGGACACCGGGGGGCCACGTCCCCACGGCTGGGGGGTGTCACCTGCTGGCCCCCCCCTTATGTAAAGCCACCTCCCCGTGATGCTCCTTGTGTCCCACCCCCGAGCCCTAATCTTTGCCATCTTGGGCTAATTGGATTTCCTGGGTCACATGGCGAGATAAAAAGTCCCCAAATCCCACTGTCAAAAAAAATCAGGTTATCCATGGGGAATTAAGGGCCAGAGCGGGGGGCAGCCGAGCAGGAGCACCCACCGAGCGGCTCTGCCTGGGGCACCCCAAAATCCGCGCTCGGGGCCTCCTTTGGGCTCCCTGGTTTCTCGGTTCGACCCTCCCAGCGCCCACCTCGCCCCCGGGGTGTGCGTTGACTTGCCCCCGGAGAGCTGGAAAAACCGGGGGACCTAGAGGAGCTTGTGGCGTTGCTGGAGGAGGAGGACGAAGCCATGGGGAGCGGGGCCAGCGCCGAGGACAAGGAGATGGCCAAGAGGTCCAAGGAGCTGGAGAAGAAGCTCCAGGAGGACGCGGATAAGGAGGCCAAGACCGTCAAGTTGCTGCTGCTTGGTGAGGGCTGGGGGTGTCCCCGAGGGTTCTCCCGATGTCCCCACCTTGGTGGAGGTTGGGGTGTCCTCAAGGGTTGTCTCGATGTCCCCGAGGGTTGTCCCAATGTCCCCACACCATTGGTGGGATTGGGACCCCCTGGGCTCCTCCTGTTCCCCCTCGGAGCTGCCACCAGCCAGGAGAGGTTGTCCCACCAACCGGGTGTCCTTGGGGTTGTCCCAATGTCTCCACCCCCCGGAGCCTGGGGGGATGTCCCCAAGAGTTGTCCTGATGTCCCCACCCGGTTGGAGGTTGGGGGATGTGAGGATGGGGACTGGGACTCCTCCTGCCCCGTCCCTGATCCCCCTCTCCACCAGCCAGCAGAGCTTGTCCCACCCCTGGGTGTCCCCAAGAGTTGTTCCGATGTCCCCAAGGGTTGTCCTGATGTCCCCACCCCAAGGAGGCTTGGGGGGATGGGGGTCGGGAACCCCTGGGCTGCTCCTGTTCCCCCTCGGAGCTGCCACCGGCCAGGAGAGGTTGTCCCACCCCTGGGTGTCCCCAAGGCTGTCCCTGGGAAGAGCTGGAGATGCCATCGGCTCTTGGGGTGGCAGGGACAGAGGGGGGAGGACAGGGAGGGGATGGGGACAGCGGGGCTGTGGCACATCCCGGGGATCAGAGAGAGCCTGGGGACATCCTGCCACCAGCACCCCCAAACCCTGGGGGGTCCCCTGGGGGTCCCTCTGCACCCCAAGGGGCAGGGGTGACACTGCAGGGTAAAGGGGTGACTCCACAGGACAGGGCGTGACCCTGTGGGGCAGAGGGGTGACCCCCCCAGTGTATAGGGGTGACCCCACAGGACAGGAGGTGACCCCAAGGGGCAGGGGGTGACCCCGTGGGGCAGAGGGGTGACCCCCCCAGCAGCCCCCCAGGGTATAGGGGTGACCCCACAGGACAGGGGGTGACCCCAAGGGGCAGAGCAGTGACTCTGCAGGGCAAGGGGGTGACCCCCTGGGGTACAGGGCTGAGCCCACAGGACAGGGGGGTGACCCCCCGTGTCAGGGGCGGCGGCGGGGCCTTATCCAGGTGGGGGGGCCGGGGGTCAAGGCGATTACCACCCTAATTCTAAGCGGCTTCCTGGGTCACCCTAAGCCGCTTACGAGGCACTGCCGGCGCTGCCCGGGGGTGGGTGGGACGGGTGGGACCCCAGGGACCCCCTCCAGGGGGGTCCCCACCGCCCCCCACCGCGGTCCCACACTGCGGGAGGGGGGACAGGAGCGCGGGGACAATGGCAGGAGTCCGGGCGGGGGGGGACGGTGGCTCTGGTCCCCTCGGGGTGCCCACCGCGGCCCCGCTGAGGTGCCCGTTCCCACACTTTTCCAGGGGCCGGAGAGTCCGGGAAGAGCACCATCGTGAAGCAGATGAAGTGAGTGTGGGATGGGGAGAGGGGACCCCCCCCGACCACGGGCAGGGGGTGGCAGGACCCCATCACCCCCCCCGGTGTCACACCACCGGTGGCACCCGGTGACTCCCGGTGCGGGGAGGGCAGGGGGTACCCCGCAGGGCAGGGGGTGCCCCCCGGGGGGTGCTGAGGCCGCGGTGCCCCCCAGGATCATCCACCAGGACGGGTACACGGAGGAGGAGTGCATGGAGTTCAAGGCCATCATCTACGGCAACATCCTGCAGTCCATCCTGGCCATCGTGCGCGCCATGTCCACGCTGGGCATCGACTACGCCGAGTCCTCCTGCGCGGTCAGTGCCCCCCGAGCCCCCCCAGGGACCCCCCAGTGCCCCCCCAGCGACCCTCTGGGACCCCCCGAGCCCCCTCAGGAGCAGGGGCAGGGGCAGGGCTGCCCCTCACCTCAGGGTGCTTTGGGGGGGTGAGGGGGCTCCAGGGGGCATCCTGTGGGTGGTGGGGTGACAGGGGGGGCTGAGGATACTCTGCAGGGGCTGAGGGCTCTTGGGGGGCTGAGGTTGATTTGGGGGCACTGAAGGTGCTTTAGGGGGCTGAGGGTGCTTTGGGGGGTTAAGGGTGCTTTGGGGGGGTTAGGGGTGCTTTCAGGGGGCACCCCATGGGTTGAGGGTGCTTTCAGAGGGTTGAGAGCACTTTGAGGGGGCTGAGGGGGCTTCAGGGGGCACCCCATGGGTTAAGGGTGCTATGGGGGGGTGAGGGTGCTTTGGGGGGCTGAGGGTGCTTTCAGGGGGCTGAGAGCACTTTGAGGGGGCTGAGGGTGCTTTGGGGGGGGATCCCATGGGTGGGGGGGTTGTGAGGGGGGCTGAGGGTGCTCTGTGGGCTGTCTGTGGGTGGGAGGGTGACCAGGGGGACCAGGCGTGCTCCGGGGGGGCTGAGGGTGCTCCGGGGTGGATCCCGGGGGTGGGAGGGTGATGATGGTCCCCCCCAGGACGAGGGCCGGATCCTGTTCAACCTGGCTGACTCCATCGAGGAGGGCACGATGCCCCCCGAGCTCGTGTCCTGCATCAAGAAGCTCTGGAAGGACGGGGGGGTCCAGGCCTGCTTCGACCGCGCCGCCGAGTACCAGCTCAACGACTCGGCCGCGTAGTGAGTGGGCACGGGGGGCACGGGGGGACAGGGGACATGGAGGGGACAGGGGACAGGGGTCATGGGGGGCATGGGGGACAGGAGGGGACAGGGGGACGGGAGCCAGGGGCATGGGGGGCACAGGGAAAGGGGGACAGAGGACAGAGGGCATGGGGGGCACAGGGGGACAGGGGATCATGGGAGCCGGGGGGGCTGGGGGTCCGGGGGCAGCCCCTTGGTGCCAGGTCACAGCCCCCCCGTGCCCACAGTTACCTGAACCAGCTGGACAGGATCACAGCCCCCAACTACCTCCCCAACGAGCAGGACGTGCTGCGCTCCCGGGTCAAGACCACGGGCATCATCGAGACCAAGTTCTCCGTCAAGGACCTCAACTTCAGGTGGGGGGAGAAGGCCCTGCCCCTCCAGGACCTCTCTCCAGGACACTCCTCTGTCATCCCCCCCCATCATCCCCTCCCTGATCCCTCTTCCGTGTTCCCCCCCCATGAACACCCCCAGACTCCACTGTGGGATCCCCCTCTGTGATCCCCCTCCAGAACCCCCCCATCGTCCCCTCCCTGCCCCCCCTCCACGTTTCCCCACCATCAGGACTGGATTTTGGGGTGCCCAGGCCCCGCCCCCCCCATCCCATGTCCCGAGGCCCCGGGACCACGCCGGGGTGGGTGGGGGGTGTGTGACACCCCCGTGTCCCCCCCAGGATGTTCGACGTGGGGGGGGCAACGCTCGGAGCGCAAGAAGTGGATCCACTGCTTTGAGGGCGTTACCTGCATCATCTTCTGCGGGGCCCTGAGCGCCTACGACATGGTGCTGGTGGAGGACGACGAAGTGGTGGGTGGGGGTTCCCTGGGGGGGCAGGATGGGGGGCTCCAAGGGGGCTCAGAGGGGTGGGAACAGCCCTGTGGGATCATCAGCCCCCTTCTACAACCCCCCTTTGTGAGCCCATCATTGATCCT